AGCACGCTGTCTCTCCTGCGCATCATTCTGTCTCCTAGCTTCCCTCTCCACTTTATCCCTAGCAATCTGCTGCCGCACATGGGCGTGCCCCTATGGACGTGCTCTTTGCCTCTGTCTTCTTTGATTTGATTGACAATACCCTGTATGTCTTTTGTCTTGGTCCCTTTTGGCTTTGCCAAGTTCTTGTCCCTGATGACGTCTATCAAATTCTTTCCTCTTGGTTTCCTAAAATGCAAAGAATTCCCTCTATCATCTCTCCACTAGTTAAGACAAGAAATTTGTATTTAGTTTATTTAAAGTGGCAAAGCCGAGTGATTTATTTATAACATTAATTAAACTTTCTTGAAATCGACAAATACTGGGCTCAAAGTTAACAATCATGATTGCCTATTGGCAATAAGTATTACTCTGGGCCCCTGATTGAATGGAACAATTTATCCTCACAAAATCCTTCTCCACAATGGTGTACAAACATGTGGATGGGATACTATCAAATTGTCCAGAAAACCTCAGAGAATACCAGAGGATATCTTCCAATCAGTGGACTGCATCTCATTTTAAGGGATTTCCTTACTCTTGGTGATGCTCTAGAAACTGGGATAGGTCAGATCTTGGCTCTGAACAAAGTCTTCATTTTAAGGGGAAAATACTGCTTAAAAAAGTAATTTAGTTCTGGACAAAATAACAGCGCTCAACAGCAACTTTTCAACTTATTAGCCAAGTGGCTAGTGACAACTTAGATGTTACAACAATCTCAGTTTGTTCACTAATCAAATTAGTTTGGAGGCAGCGTGGAGGAGTGGTCAGCGTGTCAGATTCGCAATCCGTTGTTCCCGGGTTCCAGTCCCGCTCTGACCACCACCTGGATTTGTTTCACGGTAGCTGAGTTCAAATTTCCGGCCAAGCTTGTAAATAGCCAACTGGTTTGCCTTCGGCCAGTTGGGATTCTTAACAATATTATGATCAATTTGAATTACAGTATTTGTTTACAGCCCATAATGTAAACTACTGGGTTACCAGTAATTGTGTTAGCTACTAAAGTAAATTTTGTTTTTTTTTAAACCACTGGCCAAAACTGAATTTCTACTAGCCTGTGGCTAGTTGGCTACTGTTAGTGTTGAGACCTGAATAAAACTCAACCTTTAGAGAGCTTGAATAAGATTAATAACCATATATAGCAACAATAACACTTCTAATGATAATAATAATATTAAAACTAGTTATTATCCAACTGGACTCCATAGACTACAAATATCACTCAAGACAACTACAAATATCATGTGGTCTTTGTACTCCAGAGAACCAGTTAGAGAGGTTTTCTCGCATCACGCAAGCGATGAATTAAATTGAAGTTCCAAAAATAGTTGGAATGGCTGGCAAATATTGATCCAAGTTTTATAAGATAAATCGAACAAAGAAAAGCAGTTAGACATCAATGAAATTTTAATCATTTATTGAAGAAAATAGAAATAGCAACATAACAACATGCTAATTCATTTCCGGCTGCTTAGCATACTTCTGTCACACACTCCCCCTAAATAGATATCCGAAAAATTCACCTGCACTGAATTAATGATTTGGCTTGTTGGATAACAAATAACTTATTAGACATTTTGGTGTGTCGTATTGCTAAAAAAACATCTATTAATTCTGTTAATTAGAAAATAATGCCACTTGTTATAATGACTAAGATAATAATAATAATGAGTTAAATGTATTTGGTGATTAATTCATACATGTAGTAATGTTTTCATTAAGAGCCAATAACCTTTCACTATTGCAAGGTGTTCTGACAAATACATGTTAGCAACCACAGTACCTTGTTTTATTTCACACAAATATTTACTAAAATAAATTTAATCGATAATAATAATAATAATAATATTTGATACTTATGTTGCGCTTTTTCCATAAAAATACTGAAAAGCGCATTACAATATTAATTATTAAACCCGTAAAATTACAATATTTACAGTATAAAAATTTCCAGAGTAATTAGTAAAACATAGAATTTTTTAAAAATCCCAATGTTAAATTAAATGAATAAAGAATCTAACTAAAAGCCTTTTTAAATAAATATGTTTTAACAGAGCGTTTGAAGGAGTTATTTGATGTTTCCTGTCTTATTGGCAGAGGAAGACTGTTCCATAAGAAGGGGGCAGCTATTGAAAACGCGCGATCTCCCATAGTCTTCTTCGTTCTTAGCCGAGG